TCTTCTCTAGATTCTGAAGAAATTCAACTTGGACACTGTCTATGAAGGACAGACTGAAATCGATGGTGAAATGTACTCTGTAGAACATGTTGATGATGGACCAGGTGCCTTCCGTGCTCATCTTGACACTGGCTTGGCTCACACCACCACTGGTGCCAGGATCTTTGGCGTCATGAAGGGTGCCGTCGATGGTGGCATTGAGATCCCCCACAGGTAAGGGCTTGCATGAGAAATATGATATTCACTAAGTATGATGCATAACTTCAAATAGACTAGTGAAGTTAGTCTGTGTGTTTGTTACTGTCTGTCTGCTCTCTCTGAATACAAATGATAGTACCTGGAAGGATAGCGGAATGCTATTTAGTTTGGTATGCTGTTAACCCATCAAGTCCTATTTACTAGTTTGCTAAGAAAATGTAGGCCTGCTTGCCATGATCATGGAGGCCTGTCATAATATGTTAGAATTATCCCTACCTCCCATCCCGTCATTCCTTGTATGCCCTCCTCTGCGTAGCCAGTCGTACACTCTTGTTTTCCAACCTCAATCTTCTTGTTAACAAAACCTAGTAAATGTAAAGTAGCAACTCTTACTTTGAAGCAGTGATTCCTAAATGAGATTCTGCTGACCATCACTAAGGTTTACAAGAGAGACTGTTAACTTTTGTAATAATACATAATTATCTTGATTCATAATTCCTGTTCAACAACACGAGTCAAACATTTTCTAGGCATCAATTTAATGGACATGTCTGTCAGTACAAAGTGTTCTATAAATTGTACCATGTATACTATATATAACAGTTTCTTGAAATAGGGAAAAATTATTACAGGGGTTCCTCCTTCATATAATGGTTGAGAATCTGGACTGTAAAACACTTTTTATCTAGCTACCCAAGATATTTCCTCATACATTTCCCCTCCACATACTATCACATAAGTTATCCCCATGGATCAGTGTCTATTAATTATTTATATATAGTTGCTTACAAAAGCAGTACTTTATAATATAAATTTATTTACAAATTCATTGTCAGTCTATCTACATTTTTGTTGAAATGGGTAACTGCAAAAGTAATGACCAGTTTCTGCCAGGAATGCCATGTACAAACATGTCATGTCCACCTTTAGTTTAGTTAATTCATCGTTTTTTCACACAGATAGCTCCACAAGTGTTTTGTCAGTCAATTGCTAGTACTCTCTATCCCACCTGTTTACCATGTTCCTTGAGTTGCGGAAATATTTAGGCTTGATATGATGGAAATAGTTAATCTTTACAGTAAAGATGGACTAAGAGCAAATGGTAAATAATCTTGGAGCAGACAAAAAGTTGTAGGACAATAACTGCAAACCTGAATGGTAATGCCAGAAATAAAGGAAAAAGATGAGGGGAAAGTGAATAAGATGTGCCCTAAGGGGGACATCCATTCATGGGAAATGATTTTTGAAAAATAACAAATGTGTGGCAGCTGTTCCTGCAATTTAAAGAATTATCTTGTATTATAATGATGGATCACAGCATAAGTACAAGAAAAATCCCAAAAAACGAGGTTATTGAGGTTTACCAATTAATTCCTTGGAAGCCATGTAAATGGCTGCTATCCTGGGCATGTTGTGCAAGGCTAGGAACACGAGAGCACTTGCAAGTAATGACAAGACACTGCCTCCCCCTTGCAAAGTTACCTTGTGTAAACTTTCAATAGTATTTTTGCCATTTACCAATGTCCATATTTCTCTTTTGATTTGCTTTATCCAGGTGGTACTTGTCTCTCTTGTACAAACGCCATATCGTATCTCCATGTAGTAAAATAACTCGGTGCAAGGAAGAGAGATACGTGACATGGTCATTTGTTGCATATATCTGATTTTTTGTAATTTTCAATTTTCCGTAATACAACCTGCGCCATGTTTCTATAGTAATACGATGCTGAGCATGTAAGTGGTGTGAGCCCTGTTGCCGGTGCTTCTCCTGTCATGCCTTATGCACGTTACATTCCACACTTGTTTATTAATGGGAATAATGCAAAAGCCCTCTTCGAAATGCCAAATGATTCTAATCACTCTCCAAGACGTTTGTGCATTAGTGGCGAGTCTTTTGTCACATTGACCTTTGCTCATGGCGGCAAGTTCGCTTCACCCAGCATGTATGTCACCCGCCCTTAGACCCAGATTTTTCCATGACAGGATGGTCTTGTCAGATCATAGGGGTTACTAGCAATAGACAAATATTTTCATACAAATTCAAGGAATAGGGAAATCAGGTGTGAGTTGATATCTTGTGGCTGAACACTTGTGGAGGCATGTGTGCAACAAAATTAACCTTGACCTACAGTTGTCAAGATATGAAACCCAGGACAAATAGGTTAATGGTACAGACAAAACCCATATACATTTGTCATAGTAAATACTGATATGAATGATTTCTAACTACTATATTTTAGTGGAATATTTCCTCTATATAAAATATTTACCCTGCAAATGTGTACATTGACTCAAACACAGGAGCTTCTAGTCTTGTCTATAGCATAGCAGGACATTTGTCTTGCCCAAATGTATGAGTGGAGCACTGAGCATTTATACTGTATTCATCCCCTTTTCCTTCCACAGTGAGAAGAGATTCCCAGGATACGACAAGGAGAGCAAGGAATTCAATGCCACAGTTCTCCGCGACCACATCATGGGTACTCACATTGCCAGGTACATGAAGGACCTTATGGAAGATGATGAGGATGCCTACAAGAGGCAGTTCTCCCGCTACATCAAATTGGGCATCACCGCTGATGAGGTAAGGGGGAATTGCTGTTTGTTTTTGTATTTAGATATGTATTTCTTTTTATTATCTGCACCCTCCTCCCCCTGTAAATGCTCATGTCTGCATTTTTACTTCCACAGGTTGAAGAGCTCTACAAGAAGGCCCATGCCAACATCCGTGCCGATCCTGCATCTCTGCCCAAGAAGACGAAAGAGGCAAGTGTTGTTCACACTTTCTTGAAAATTGATTTTTTGTGTGCTCTTTTGCTGCAGCAGGAAATATTTTAGACAGATCTTCATACCTATTTTTTATTTTCAGGTTACCAAGAAGAGGTGGAACGCCAAGAGGTTGACCTACAAGCAACGCAAGGCTTCTGTTGCGGAGAAGAAGGCTGCCTGGTTGGCCAAGATCGAAAGGGGAGAAGCCTCTGTCGATCAGCTTCACAATTAAATGTCCCCTTTGCTGGTTGAATGTCTGGTTTTATTAGCCTTTAAACTAAGTATGTATTTTCAATGAAATGGTTAAGAGGAACTTGCTTTCTTTTCAACCTTTTAGTATATTTATAGAGGATGTGAGGATGACAAAGAAAAGATAGCATGTATCAAACAATTGGAAATTTCCTTTTACTGTATATCAGACATGAATCCTACATAATTAGTTTTGTCTGTCTCGCCCTCCTCCTCTCTCCTTTCAGTTACTGTTGGTATCTCTCTCCTCTGTCTCCCTCTCTCCCTTTCTCTCCTCAGACCAGGGAGAGATAGGAGAGTGAAGGGAGGCACAGACAAAATGTCTCCGTCTACTCCAATCTCTCCCTCCCTCCGTCCTTCCTTCCTTCCCTCCCTCTTATGTCTGTCTGAGAGAGAGAGAGAAGGGGGAGATGGGCACATCCGTCTCCATCTCCCCTCTTTCTCTCCATTCTACCTCTCTATCCTGACTACTTGTAAGTACATGATTGATAGAGAGGATGAGGACCCATGTAAATATTCATTTATTCTATATCAGCTCTTATCGAAAGTACGAATGGGTGTTGCTTTAACTATTTTTTTTTTTTTATATACCGGTGAAGAAAAAACTGCAGTGGTTTAAGGTGGTGAAAAAAAACTCAATTTGATTTTTATAGTAAAGAGATAATACTCGTTTATTTACATACACTACGTGTGAAAATGACATGTGATTAAATAATATTAATGTAGAATGTGAAAAATGAGTAATTTACAATTAGATGACTTCATGTTAATATTTGACATTGAATATATTACATTTAGAATGAAAAGTTTATTTATATTTCTTGAGCTTTATATATTAAGTAGTTACATCACTGGGATGTCCAACAATGTATATAAATAGACATTTCAGTTAGCATTGCTGTAGGTTCACGAGTGTGGAAAGCAATGGTATATAACCTGACCACACGATTTGAACCTCCGTGTAAATAATCAGAATGCTTGCTAATGCAACAAAGGTTTCAATTATAACTTTTCCCTTTGCATTATATGCAGGAATGGTCAGAACAGACCCCCTCCTTCCGCACTTTTATCTCATGCCATGTTATTCCACCTATGTTCATCTTTCAACAAAATCCTTTCCTGGACCCCCCCCCCCCTGGCACTAATCCTGAAACTACCGGTGATTTTTTTTTCTTAACCCCCCCCCCCACTGAAGACCACAAATACTATTACTACTAGCCCCTACTCAGTGCCTACTGTCCGCTGTACTAATCCCTCTTCCACAAGCCCCGTCCTGCTACCCTCATCTCTACAAATCTCTGCTCAGCCAAATGGGATCGAATTTTTGTGACCCTTTCTCCAGCCCCGAACGGCCTGTCCACACGAGCGGCCATGGTCGGCGGGAAACTGTAAAGGTGACGTCACAGGCGAGGAGAAAAATAAACTAATTTGTTTGCCGAGAAGTTTGCCCGCCTATGACGTCATCTCTATCCATGCCGGCTCGTGTGGACAGGCCATTTACTCTGACAACACGCACATCTCCCAACACTTCCTCCTAGGCAGGCAGCCACCCCCGATCATTCCCGCCTTGTCAGTTACATCCGAATCAAAAGCTAAAGCATTATCAACCCATCTTCCCACATCCCAATACCCCCCTGCTTCATTTGCATCATACCATCTTCCTTCCATTTTAATTCTTCCGCTTCCCCCTGGATACAAGTCTCTTCGTCACAATCCCCTTCCCTGGATTCTACCTCCTGACATTTCTCATGAAATTGTAATCTTAATCTTAATAAGAAAACCCCTGTCTCTTGCTAACCCGACGGACATCCTTGTTGAATCCCACACTTCTTCCTCTGATAGCTTCCTAATCATCCTTGTTGAATTAATGGACTAAGGTAAGGGACCTTAGCCCTATTTACTCATCCACACGACCACCCCTCTTTGTCCCTTTCAATCCCATACTCTTCTTAACTGCTATACGACTTTTGACGCTAGCTCATTTAATCATGTACTAACCCCCGCTCTACCTTTTTCACTACATATTTCTATAGTGCTATGACTCGATATCCAGCACATTCATTTTTCTTTGTAACTAAGAACCTAACTAACCGTTCCTCTTTCAGTCCCGTCCATTGTTGGCCAGTTGCTTCACTGCAACCCGCACCTCCCCTTGTCCTCATTTCTCCGATCCATCAATCTGGGGCATCTTCATGGAATCCCACTTTTCCCTTTGACAGCTTGGTCTTCCTCAGATCCATAGATATCCTCCATCTCATCCAACCACCCTTACCCCCCCCCCCTTACTAATTCCCGGCTTACGTCACCATACTATTCTGTAGTGCTGTATAACCTTTGACATCTAGCACATTTCATTAATAACTTGCTCTTGCCCATTTCGTCAATACTTTCCTACACTGCTCTATGACCTTTGATACCTAGCACATTTATTTGTTTTAACCATTAACAGCTAGAATACACTGTAGTATGTTTATTATTCAAGAGAAAGATTCCTGGTGGTAGGCAAAAGGAGCTCCTTGTGTCACGGACCGAAGACACAGTCGCTTTACTTCCTGGCACAGTTTCTTCGGTCCGCAGGCAAACACGCCAACTTTGGTTCTGTTGGAAGAGAAAAGTATTAACTTCACCTGGAGCACATTGTGTGATAACGAACGGACGCGATCACTACTCGATATCCAACATTGTTCCAAGACATAATCAATGGTAAACTTTTGAAATCTCTTCATCTCACTTCTTATAGGCTTGGCTGTATTGATGAAACAGGTTCTTCCACTGAGGGCGCCCTTGTTTTATTCTCGGGATGAGGGTGGGATGGCGGTCGCCAAATAATTCCTGAAAATAAAAGCCTGCATTGATATTCAGATACTTTGTTAATGAATAATAGTAATTAAGAGTACTAAGGCACATTCCTTCAATACTTCACAGCTACACAGAGATAGCAATAAGCTTAGGAAAGGAAAAAGAAATGAAGCAAGTGCTATCGTTGTAAACTCTAGGAATAATCGAAATTCCGCCCTCGTTATAGGGAGACGCTCACTTGTGCAAATCGAGATACTTTTAATCGCCCATATTTGTCTAGCGCGTTGTTCTCTGAGGCAAGGAACTTTACCTTGATTGCCCATTGTAAAAGCCACCTGGGGGACAAGCCAGTCTTTGTGAGTTACGGTCCCATGAGAGGGTTAGCGTCAGGAAGGGCTATAAAAACCATGCAAAACCAATATGGAATGAACCATAATAATTAGTGGAGGCGACTCATTCATAACGGCGACCCCATATAGAAATGGGACGAAGTTGAGAAGATTTGTCGATGAAGAAAGGATGGATATCATGTGGCAATGTAAAACAACTAATGTAATGACTTGGAATCGGTGCAGACTTGGTCGCGGGCGCATAGTTCCACCATTCAAGTTTCACTATCAACGTCTTCAATAAAAATTCTCTCAATCTTAGCTGAAAAGGTTCTTTACCAAACATAATTCATCTAATAAATTACCTATGTAGATAAATTTTATTTTGTTTATTCTTAAATAGTTAAGATTATATGTGACATCACAGGGACCCCCTCTGACCTGCAGCGCCTCGTGAGAAATCGGCGTGGTGACGTGGAAGCAAAACTCGAGTCGGTCTTCATTGCAGTCCTGCCAGCTCTGATGCAACAGACTCGAAAGCAAATGAGCCATGGTCAAGATGAGCCGAGCATCTCTCATGACCCAGATCATGTGCACTCTCTTCGGCCATGAGGCTGGGTGGTGTCTGTGAAACGAAAAGAAACTTGAGTTTTAGAGGTTTTCATTTTATGTGAGTCTGATACGATCTCGTGACAGCAATCAAATATTTTTTTCAGCTTGGTGTAAGAATGTCTACACAAGAGAGAAAAATATACATGACTTCAACTTTCATCAACGACCTATGTAAAAATGCTCACAGTATATGAGTAAGTGTTGCTGCCAAGGGCGTGATGCCGACTCCTCCAGCGATACCAACTACCACCGGGTACCGAATCATATCTTCACTTGGAGAACTAAAAGGACCGTCCACATACAGCCTGCGGTGAAGTCACAAGATATTTCATATAAATCATAAACGTTATTATGATTTATTCAATACACGTAAGAACGTTTTTGTCTCAAACACAAGTAACAACGGTAATGTACTTTGACCATAAACACCACATGGTTCGAGTAGCATATTAAAACAGTAGTATTTGAAACCAAGATTCTGGTATAACGAGAAAACTTTTGCATCTATGTTTAATTGCTTTAATACTATGATGGACTGGTCTTACCTTGCACAGGCGTCTGGGGCCATGTGGACGACCTGGTGCTCTGCGGTCTGATGTGAATCCTCATTTTCAATTTGTATTTTCTGTACATGCTTATCCAACTGCAGCAGTGTGTTTTTATTGGAATTTGAATATATATTTTCTAGCTCATCTATATGATTATCAGCATGGCTTTGCGATAGCTTCCCATGTGTCAGCACCGGGGAAAGGTGATTGTACTGAGAATGAACTTTTATGCAAGACTGGGATGATGAGAAATTCTTCATCAGCGGTGACTGCGAACAGGACCTCTCATTATCCTGCGCGTCTGTATAAACAGGCGACTGCGAGGTGCCGTGCTCTCTCCATAAATTAAAGCTCGCGTTTTCCCCCGGCAAAAAGGAGTAAACTTTGGCCTCGTCCCTCGCACGACCAGACAGACGAGGCTGGCCGTTCTGAGGCGAGAAAGGCCCTCTGCCGTTCGCTCCCTTCGAGGAGAGATAACTAGCTTGTACTACATTTGGCTTTGTGTGTGGCCTCCGACTAGACAGCGCTAGGGGCCCGTAAGGAGGTCTCTGACTAGGATCGTCCACTTGACTAGACTTCGAAGGTAACAGCGCGGCGACACTTTTGCTCCAGTCCCCCCTGGCCCTCATGAACACGGTGAAGGTCCCGGGAGAGAACTCTGAAGGCGTCTGGAAAAATCGAGGAAAATACGAACTGTTATCTTAGACTGAGGAGTTTTTTTGTGCTCGGAGGAGTCTGATCTTGCTAATACGTGAAAAGAAAACATGTCTTGTATTTTTATATGATTGTAATTTCATGTACTTGTCTATCTTTAGTATATCAGTTAGATCAAGAAGTAATTTGTTGCAAAAAAAGTAAAAATAATAATCATCATATTGATTTATATGTACTTGAACCAGAAAAAAGCTACGATTTAAAAAATACATATCTTTTAATCATCATATTGACGTATTCTTACTGGGAATAGACAAAGAGAATAAACTAAGATTAAAAACACATGTTCTAATAATGTACAAACAGTCAAAATAGTAATCCTACCGTAATAAAGACCGTTAGTAGTTAGTAGTGTAACAGGCCATGCGGTTCTGGATCACGTGACTGATGATGTCATAGACTTTGACCAATCTATGGTATGCAAGTTAGTATAGATACATTAGATAGTTTATTAAAAGATGACTAATGCTAAATTCATCTTGAAACTGAATTTAGAAATGTATTTTGAGAACTCTATGCCTGAATTACTTCGGAATTACAAGTAATATATATAATAACCAGTAACTTTAAATGAAATATGATTGCCTTATCAGTCAGGGTTAGTTAATACACTAATTATCTTAAGTGATGCGCATTAACAATATTTATGTGACAAAAAAGAATTTTTTTTCTAATCTAACTTATAAACCACAAAATTATCGCAATAAAAATGGAAATCTGCACAAATATACACACAAATGCAAAATAATGACTGAAGTTGGTTAAGCCTTTTTTAAAAGTTTATTCGACTTCAAAGCTTATGGAACAGTCAGGCGAATAAAAAACAAACAAGTAAACGTGGATTTGAAAACTATTTCTGGAGTTAGTATTGGCAGCGAAAAGAAGCAGGGGGGGGGAGGGGCTGGGGAAAAGCAGGGAGGCTGGGGGAGGAAAGGGGCTGGGGAAGGGGGCGAGGGGGCTGGAGGTGGAGCAAAAATTCCGGGGATGGTGTAAAAGCAGAGGGTCTGTGGGAGGAGCAAGGGCCAGGTGAAGAGGCTGGAGTGGGGGCTAGGGGCTAGGGGTGAGAAGGGGGTGGAATAGGGGCAAGGAGTGAGAACGGGGGCTGGAGTAAGGGCAAGGGCTAGGGGTGAGAAAGGGCAATAGGGGCTAGGGGTGGGATAGGGGGCTGGAAAAGGGACAAGGAGCTGGGAGAAGAGCTGGGGGGCTGAAGCTAGGCAGAGAGCTAAAGAAGGGACTGGAACAGGGGGCTAGTGGGGCTGAGTGTGAGACAAGGGGGGGGGGGGCTTGGGGAGGACATGAGCTGAGGATAAGGCAGGGCGAAGACGCTGACAACGAGAGCTGAGGATGACGGGGAGATCAGGGGGCTGGGGCGTAGTAGGGGGCTGAGAAAGGACCAGGGAAAAAAAAAGATAGTCTTTAGGATGATTGTGGAAAGGGGGGGGGGTCTTTAGGGTGAGTGTGGAAAGGGGGGGTCTTTAGGGTGAGTGTGGAAAGGATGGGGGGGGGGTAGGCTGAGTGTAGAAAGGGGAGGAGGTAGACAAAACAAACGTAAAAAAAAGATCTCGTGTTATCTCGATGTTAATGTTCAACGTGAATAAAAATTAGAAACAGGCCTAAATATTTGGATTAGATAGGCAGCATATACTTACTTTTGTCACCGTGAAGGGATGCCACTCGAAATTGGACACTTGGGGGCACTGAAGCATCACAAACTAGAGGAACAAATAGGTCATATTAACGTAAAAATAAATAATATCTATCTCATCTAATCTAGGTCATCCGTCATTCTATATCTAGGTCATATTAACGTAAAAATAAATAATATTATCTTTCTAGGTCATATTAAGTAAAAATACTATAGTTAGATGTCATCCAGTCTAAATAAATATTTACTTACGTTAGTCTACCTGTCTATCAAGTCTATCAATCTATGTCTATTTATCTATCTATTTACATCTGCGTCTATCTATCTACATCCGGATTTTCGCCACAAAAATACAAAAAGAAAAAGGAAAAAAATGACATCTTTTCTGAATAAGCCACATCTCTAACCATCTATCAAGAACTTGCTAGTCTATCTATCTGTTTACCTGTCTATTTCTCTATCCATAGATCTCTCTGCGTCTATCCACTTACATCCACATCTTTGCCGCTAAAAATAGGAAACACTCCACATTCACGTCTTTTCAAAAATACAAAAAAAAAAAATTCGACATCCACATCTTTGCCGAAAAAAAACACCCACATCTTAAAAAAAAAAAAGATTCGACATCCAATCTTTGCCGAAAAAAAAAAACATCTTAAAAAAAAAAAAGATTCGACATCCACATCTTTGCCGAGAAGAAAAAACACCCACATCTTAAAAAAAAAAAAAGATTCGACATCCACATCTTGCCGAAGAAAAAAAACACCACATCTAAAAAAAAAAAAGATTCGACATCCACATCTTTGCCGAAGAAAAAAAAAACACCCACATCTTAAAAAAAAAAAAAACATCCACATCTTTGCCAAAGCTCAAAAAAAAAAAAAAAAAAAAAAAAAAAAAAAAAAAAAAAAAATCGACATCCCAACTTCCACACACACACACACACAAAAAAAATCCACATCCCATCCTTTTCCAAGAAAGCCAACAAAAATATACAATCTCTTCCAAGAACCACCGCCACACACACACAACACACATATCCACATCTCTTCCACAAGCTCAAAAAAAGAAAAAAACGAAGAAAAAAAAATCCACACCACCTCTCCACGATATCCTCAACACACACACAACCACAACACACAACCACACCACACACACACACACACACACACACACACACACACACACACAGACAAATATCCACACCACTCTTCCACTCGCTCCACTCGCACTCGCACTGACCTGGCCCGGCAAACAGGAGAAGCCCGGCAGCCTGAGGGTGAGCTCCACCACGTCGCACGGGTGATGCACCGCCTCCACCACTCCACTCCACCCTCCGCCTCCACACCGTACGAGCCCAGTCCGCCGCCACACCAGCAGCGCCACGCCCACCCAGATCCACGTCTGAGAGGGGAGGGGGAAAGGAGGGAAGGGAGGGGATGAATTGCCGGATTGGGAAAAGAGGTGTTTATGTGTGTGTGTGTGATCATAAATATATAAACTGTATATATATGTATATTCATATATATGTATTTATATATATATATTTATTTATAAACACGTATGTATATGTGTATGTGTATGTGCATGTATAAGCGTATGTGTATGTGCATGTATAAGCGTATGTGTAATGTATAAGCGTATGTGTATGTGCGTATGGTATATGTAGCGTATGTGTACGTGCATGTATAAGCGTATGTGTACGTGCATGTATAAGCGTATGTGTATGTGCATGTATAAGCGTATGTGTACGTGCATGTATAAGCGTATGTGTACGTGCATGTATAAGCGTATGTGTACGTGCATGTATAAGCGTATGCGTGCATGTAAAGCGTATGTGTACGTGCATGTATAAGCCATGTGGTATGTGCAGTGTGTATAAGCGTATGTGTACGTGCATGTATAAGCGTATGTGTATGTGTGCGTGCATGTATAAGCGTATGTGTACGTGCATGTATAAGCGTATGTGTATGCATGTATAACGTATGTGTATGTGCATGTATAAATGCGTATTGTACGTGTGCGTATGTATATGCGTATGTGTATGTACATAAATATGTGTATGTGCATGTGCATGGGCACGTATGTGTACATAAGTATGCCTATGTTCATATCTAAGTACATATCTCCATAGGACGTAATATTTGACGGACAACTGACTGTCACCCACTGACTGTACTCGACCGATGGGAACTGACCTTGGAGTGGATGGCCCCGAAGACAGGCGGTCTGTGGCACTTCCTCCTCTTTTTCCTCGTCCTGTGGTACTTCCCTGACCTGCCCTTCCCGCCGCTGACCTTTGGCGACCCTGTGGAGAGAGCGATTGATTATTTATTATATTTATTTATTTATTATTTATTTTATTTTTATTTATTATTTATTAATTTTATTTATTATTTATTTATTTTATTTATTTTATATTTTATTTATTTTATATAGCTTTTATTATATTTAGCTTGTAGAAAATCAAATTACTGATAGTGGTGAAATAAATGAGGGTAATGTGGGATTTACTGATATGATGACAAAAGAACAATAGTGTTGGATGTGATGTTGTTGACTACAATAATGCCAGCAAGAATAACACAAATAATTTTCATTAATGAGTCGTTACAATAATGATGATTATTGCAAAAA